TAAAACACGAGATAATATAAGAGTACTTTGTTCTTTGTTTTAGATTGACGATTGTCGTAGAACACATAACTACGACGAATTTATCTGTACCTTCCTTTCGATGCTTGCTCAACAAGGCAAATTAGCGGAATTGGTCCAACAACATTTAACTTTAAAGAAACACACTTCCGTATCAGTGAATAGGGTTCATAGGTAAGGAATTTTATTACGATTTCGATTTTGCGCGACAGATTGTTTAATACAGGGATTATTTATAGATCTTCAAAGAAGACCGACACTCGTCCAAACTCATCACGCAGACGTCGAGGTAGAACAAAGTGTAAAAAACGAAAATAATCGTGGTAATTGAATCGAAATGGTAATAATGGAGCTGTTATCCCACCTATCGAATCGTCAATAAATTGTTGCAAGGACACAATTTCAAAACGACAAAACGACAAAACAAGCATGTAAAAAGATTATACTATTGTTGAAGAAAAATAGAGATTGTGTTTCACTCTTCGTAATACTTACGCAGCATTAAGAGCGCCGAACTATCAGTACTTCTTTTACTTTCTTACGCAGATATTCTTTAGACAATGGTAGATCGACAGCAGTGTTGATTATAATTCTACTTTTTCCATTTGGACTTCAATCTTTGTCACGATTGACAATTATACTTTAGAACTGTACAAATTAACTTTATGATATATTTTTTATATTTCTTTCATATTAATGCGCGGTTTCTACTGTCACACTATGTTTATAGATACTATGAACCTATTGCGTACTCTTTGCAGTGTGTATCAGTAATCTTTATCTCTGCATCTATTATGTTTCATAAGAAATATATGGTTTCTTAGATACGAACACTGTTCTTTATTTTGTGTCATGTATTATGTTTCTTATAAATCGCTATTTTAATAAGAAGATTAGGGGCGATGACAAAGGAAGTCGTCACAAATATTGTCAAAAACATTGAAAATATTTATTTCGGTATTCATATACAAGTACACTACACGCTGTGGATATGTCACTTAGATCTAAATACTTATATCTCCGTACAGCCGGAGAAAGAAGGATCAAAATTCGACTTGGAATCATGTTTAATCGTAGACAATGGCCAACCGAGTCTCTAAGTCGCTTTACCATACTGTAAACTGCATAGGAACTGTATTCGAAACGTCCTCAAAGAAGCTATTTCAAGAGTGCAAATATATAAGGGGAGACACGATGGTTCAGAAATGTTGTGAGTTAGAAGTTCCTTCTCCGGCCGATGTTCGTTAACGCCTTCGATATTTGCGCCATAGTTTCATCGGCACGAGTAGCGTGCTTTTTGGCAAAAGAAGAAAAGAAAGAAAGAAAGGTGCAATTATGTACAAATATCGATTCATGGTCGCTGTGTTCGAAGGTAATGTTTTCTCGTGGGCAAGTAATCATGAGATAAAAGATTATTTGGAATTTGTGAGTAAAAACTTTGCGACGATCACCACATACGCACGGTTCGTGTGGCATTCTCTCTGTGACCACAAACGTGATCACGAATTAACACAATCGTTATTTACAAAGTACACGGATACCTGATTTTTTCCAAACACCGACTTCTTTCACTCTCTCTCTCTCTCTCTCTCTCTCTCTCTCTCTCCCCCTCTCTCTCTCACAATGAACGTGCTTTTAACCTCGAGCTGTTAGAAAATCTACAATTTTAATGTGGGCTGCGGGATAGAACATACAGCTTCGTTATTATAGGCACTCGTGGTATGTTACATTAAATCAACTGCGAAACGATGCACATCGTGTGCGATTATCGAGTCGTTGGGTCCGAGTGTTCTACATTTACCTCGATAACGAATTAAGAAAAAGGAGAAAAGAAGAGAAAGAAATTATATTTACATCGATACGTTATAAATGAGCACATTTTTCCGACAATTGATAAAAGAAATATTAAATCTTACACAACTCGTCTCACTACTCGACTCCCTTTTACTCTGAGCAAAACTGTGAAACGTTTGAGCGGCGGCAGCAAAAAGGAAAAACTAATTCATCGAGTATCGTTGTCGGCGATCGTTCGCAGAAAATTATCAACAATAATAATACAAACATGCCGTATAAAATATAGAAAATTCACGCGAGGAAGATAAAAAATACAAACGAAGTGAAAGGAGAGAAAGTAGGGTAAAGGGGAGCATAGAAGCATGAGGAAGAATACAGATACGAGATCCTTCCGCGAATTACGCCGATTACGATTAATACAGTCTTGTGATGTGTCTTAGAAAACCTTAAGAAACACGCATATGCCGCAGACCTATAACACGTTCGATCTGCTCAGAGATGTGTTCAAATATGATCGAGCTATCGTAATTTTGAGCCTCCAGTCCGTGATCATTTCTCCGACATCATAAACGTCACAGAAAGTAGCGCGATCGCCGCAACCAAATAGTAAATAAGTAACACGCTGTATTGTTTATTCATCTCAAAACTTCGAAGCAATAATTTTTGTTTTCCATGACATAGACGAAACCATGTAAAAATAGTATTTTCGACAGAGAAACACCAGAAATTATGTATCGCGTTCTTCATTTAGATTCTTTATATTCTTAATGCTGCATTCATCTTCCTCTGGTCGAAATACTAATTTTTCACGTGGCTCACGTGGCGTATAAGCAGACGATTCATGATAAATAAAGGTTCGTTTTTTCTAAAAATGTAGTAGCTTCAGATTAACGTTTCGTGGCTTATCATACTGACGTACAGCGGGAGGCGTCAACGAACGAGTGGATCGAACGATTCGAGAATAATCTTCCTCTCTTTGCCTTTAATAAATAGTAACGGAAACATCGGGACAACGAATCGGTTGCCATCGTTGAGTCACTCTATCGCTTTGAGTTTCATCGTCGTTCGAATCGTAACGATGAATGACGCGTTCGATCGACGCTTCCGGCGTTCGCTAGAAATTTCGAAAAGAAAAGTTCCTCCGATTAGCGCGCGTTCTCTACAGCTTCCTCTTCTTTCCGGCGGACACGATTTCTTCGGTGCGGTAATAGATCAAATAAAGAATCGTGTTACGCTCTTTCTTTACGTGTAACACCAAAGCGTTGCGCGCATACGTATAGATGCGCGCGTACAGACACACACAGAGACCATTCGTCTTATACTCTCACGATATCGAAAAATACGTTAATTTGAAGAAAAAAAATATATGTATATATCATATGTATATGTATATATGTATATTCCTTGCATATGTGCACTATGTATACATTACGTAACACCTATAGGCTCGCTTAATACTTTGAATACCGCGTGATTCCCGGTACATGATAAATCCCGTGATCCATCGTTCCTTCGATTAGAGGAAAAAAGAGAGAAAAAAAAGAAAAAAGTGATAAGCAAAAAAAGACTCGTAAAACAACCAGTTGGCGTCTTGTTTTCTGCTCGACTTTCGCTTCTCGTGCAAATTGTTTTTAACGGTTGCACGAAGCACCAGCGAATAGAAAACAAATCTGGAACGTACACACGCACTCCTGCTCGTTTATACGTACATATATACATATGTGGTCACGTTAATCGCTAATAACGAATGTATATTTATAAAGAAAAAGAAGAGGAAGAAGGAAGAAGAAGAAGAAGAAGAAGACAGGGGATGATCTTAGACAAGATGCAAAAAAAAAGGAAAAAAAAAGAACGTTGACGAGGTAACGCGATCGGTAAAAGGATGAAGGTTCTCTGCTATGTACTGGAAAAGCGATCGATGTTTTCGAGGCGCAATTGACTTGCACGGGATGGGAATTGGCGTTATTTGCGTACCGACTGGCAAGGTTGAATTTCAAGGAGAAGACATTAAGCAACGTGTTGGTGCGAGATTTGAACGAGGACGACAGAAGAATCGTCAGACAGAGACAAATAAACCTGGAATCGAAGCCACACGTTCGAACACCAATAAACACTTTGCTTTCCTCCTAGAAATTTGCCACGGATTCGGGCCAATGTTGCGCCGCGCAAACATGGGTCGACGCGAACACGATGAACGGTTTTTGGGAAAGAGAAGAGATCGTGAATCGATAATACAAGGATGTTATTACTTTGCTCGATAACGATGCAGGGGAGTGGAGGCTTAAATCGTTAAGGATAACTGGCGGTAGTGAGATAGCCGGTTGCGCGACCAATTTATTAATCGGGAAATAAATTCGTAGTTTTCACGGAAAGAAATTCGATTCTCGTTAATCGGAAGATTTTCGAAGTCGTTTGCTAATAATTTTACATTTTATCACGAGATACGTATATATATATAATATATAATATATAATATATATATTATAAAAATTATGTTATATATATATATATATATATATATATATATAAAACATAATAGGAATTTTTATTCAGCAAGGATAAATACAAACGAATCTGAAGGTCTTCGTATTAACGAGATCGTTTCTCTGCCGTCAAGTATATGATACGAATCGAATATCGAATATCCAAATTATTCGAATCGTTGCTCGAGTTTGGCGCACAGTAGCAAATAAAACGGTCGGCTCGATTAGCCGTTGCACTTTTCGAATCAGCAAATGAACTTGCTAATGACAACAATGATAATAATAATTAAACGAAAGTATTCTAAGAAAGTCTTACAGTATAAATTACTTATAGTCTAGGATGTCGCATCTTTCTTATCGTCTAACTCGTCGTTACGATACCGCGGGACATTGGATGGAGTCCCATTTTGGCAAACGGGGCAACTCGAAAGCAGAAAAGCGTACCCGACAGTTGATTCGACTGATCCTCGCATTCCGCCGACTAAAATCGAATAATTTTCGACTCCCGTATAAAACAGCTATACCGTCCTTTTTATACGCTTTGTCTAGTCGATCTGTAATCGTTATCTGATCGATGAAAAACGGCGTGCGATTTGTTTCACGCGATATTGGTCGATACCGAAGTACACGCGAATGCAAAACCGGTAGTGGTTGTTCCAAGAATGTACACTTCTCTACATTCCTTACCAACCTTCTCTGTCGTTCTTTACTCGCTCTTCAATTTACGACGAAAGAACGAGATCAAGCGACGATCGTCTGATCGCTATTTCCTTCTACCAACTAACAACAATCGCTACACTCGTTGAAGCGTTCGTGCGCGTGTAACCAGCGATCGAGGAGTACTTTCTATTTCTTGTCTCCCCCGTGTTCGATGCGATATGAGGAATTGCCGTCGTGTTGATCACCGTCGCACTTAACCTGGTACAACTCGAGGAGCAACGCGTTGGACAGTTGGCTCGCTCGCTGCGAAAAAGCCACCAAGAGGATACGACGATCTCTTTCACGGCCCATTGACTGTGGCGTTTGCGGGTAACGCGTGTCCCGTGACCAGACTGCTCTCCGTCGGCTTGCCGATACGGAGTATCGACTGAAGGGAGGCAACCTCGGAGGCGAGACGGTCCAGCCTCGATTTCACTTCCCTCTCGCTCTCAGGAACGGTAGACACGCTGGGGCCGGTCCATTCGGCGCCCAAGGAAATGCCCGAGTCACGCTCGTCGCTTGAACCTTCGTTGTCCCATGGTGGTGACGCTCTGGGTCCCGGTTCTTGTTTGATACCCTGAAGCGCGAGTAACGCGCTGGCCGCGTCCTTGTCGCCGATACGCGACTTGTGCCTCAGCTTGTGAGGTAGACTGTTGTTAGCTGCTGGATTCTGCGAGCTGACCACCAATTGCGGACCTTCGTCTCCGCTGCCGGATGATAATTCAAACGGCGATTGAGCGCGTCGACCACGAGATAGGTTTAGAGCGCTGGTCGTGTCGAGGTGCATCGCCGGATGAGGATAAGGATATTGAAAACTTTCCGTCTCAGGGTACGAGGTCGTTTCGGGAACGTACAGCTGCGCGGGTGACCTGGGCGATCGTGCACCGCTGACTGGTTGATGGATCACCGAAGTATGCACAGGACTTGGTGTTCTTGCGTAGAGGAGAGCCGCCGAGGCTGGCAGTTTCGCCCTTTTGACGATGGGCGGGTCAGCGGGTAGAGCCGCGAGCACGTGTTCCGTGCTGATCACAGACTCACCGCATATACCGAACTTATCCCTGATCGCCTCGAGTTGCGCCTTCAGGATGTGGTTTTCCTTGCTCAGCTCCATGACTCGTTGCTCGAGTACCATGTCGTTGAAACGCCTTTTCTCTCGGGACCGTTTGGCTGCCTCGTTGTTGCGTCTCCTGCGGTCCCAGTAGCTGTCGTCCTTCTTGTTGTCCGGAATGAACTCCCGTTGCTTGCGCTGGGAAAATAGCTCTTTTCTGATGTCGAAGTTCGGAGGGAAATTTTCTGGGTGTGTCACCTGTTGGGCGTCGTGGTGATGGTGCGGCGGCTGCTGCTGCTGCGTCTGTTGCTGCTGCGGCTGATGATGGTGATGATGTTGCGGAGGTTGCTGCTGCTGCGGCGGCGGTGGCTGGTGCTGCGGTTGATGCTGATGTTGCTGTTGCTGTTGCAGAGTCAATGGAGCACCATGGTGTGCCGGATGCGTCAACGGAGGCAACGGTCCATGGGCATCGTGTCCACCATGAATACCGTGACCGGCGTGCGCCATTGTGTGGGTGGCCGGCATATTGCTGTTCAAACACGCGGTCTCACCATTGATAGGCGATCCACTCTGGCGGGCGACAATTTCTGCCACCATAATTTGTCTTCTTAGTACATCTGCGAAGGAAAAACAAGTTGCGAATTAGATAAGACAGGTCGGGATAGAGACGATGCGTTTGCAACAATACGAATAAAGTTTGGCGTCGAACGCGTGCGAACTAATCCGGCAGAATTAATAAGATCGTATATTACGTCGGTGGTTAAAGTGTCAGACAGCAAGGAGAACGATTCCCGAGTCAACACACGGGACGAGTTTATTAACGGCGGTGATGTAGCGCTGCGTGCCAAACGATCGCGATGACGAAAAGCGCAGCTTAGTGACAAGGCAACCTAGTCACGTAAGATACAAATAGATCAGAATGCGAGTATATTTACATTTAACAATTGTTTGTTTGTCGTGATTCAGCGTTTCTCGTATTCGACGCTCGTCACTCGTAAATACTAGAAAAATAGTAAATACGTCGTAACAGTGTTATTCGAACGCGATGTTCGCCTCTTTCGGACGCAAGGTCCTTCCAGCTTTTCAGTGAAACGTTTATTAATCCAAAGTGACGCAAATCCGTGGTGTAGCGAACGCATTTGCGATCCTAGCCACGTACGAAATGTTGTAGTCCTTGTGCGGTACTGTCACGCAACAGTCGAGTGACGGACATTACGAAAGAAGGTCGCGCGATACGGAATCAGGAAGAAGAAAAACAATGTCGAGAGATTTCTACAGATAGCCGACCTCCTATGCCGTCACTTTTTGTCGTGATCGTTCATTACACACGGTGTTTCAGATTACGATCCATACCGGTCGTACGCGGCCTGCCTTTCCGGATTCGAATCGCAGAGACTTCAATTCGATCGACCGCGATTCGCGATGTGATTCAATGTGATCATTCCTTTCCCGTGACATAGCGCGTAATAATTGTAACAGACTGCATGTTAGAATTGTAATCAAACTGCTGGTTAATTCGATGACGCACACTTATGAAAATCGATCGTCACATTTGAAACAACTGGAAACAGCGCTTCGATGATAATTGCAATTTCTTGGAACGATTGTTCATTCATCTAGCTAATCACCTGCATCACGCGCCTGGGGAACGAACGTAACTTATCCTTATTTAGTCTAATTAGTGTAGCGAACAATTTGAATAAAGCATAATTAACTCGAAACTTTACCGTAATACCGTACTGTTGACAAAGTTAACCTAATACAAAACAAATGTGTTATACATATGTATACTGCAGCTCGTTACAGTATTTCTTATCTACGAAAGCAAATACTAGAGAAAAATTCCGGAGGTGAGAGAACGGTTGCCAAGTAGCATAGTCACGCGCCGTTAAGTGTACGTTTAAGGTGCATACTCTGTATACATCAAGAAACCATTTGTATTCCGTGAGCGTGCATCGAAGATCATTGCCTTAACGCCGTGTTTGTACGGTGAGCGCGTTAAATCGTTTGTATAGCGATTCCCGATGCCAGCAGCGTGCAGCAGATACGCCGCTTATTTTGGGCCCTCGAGGACGATCGTTCTGTTGAGCAGGCGTGGGTGTGGCGACAGCAGATCATGCTCAACAACAGGGAGAGTATCTCCTCTCGTAAAGTTCCGTGACCGTTATACGGGAGAGTACGGAGCGGACAAAGGTGAAGAATTCCGAGAGATCGAGGGACGTGCACGTACTGCCAACAATACCGGTCCGGGCAACGCCGAGCACAAGTCGCAAAATAGCCTTGGGTAAGGTCGGGCTATTCCCCAAGGTCGAAGATGTCAACGAACCCGCCACCGTTGCCAGTCGACCAATAGAAATTTGTCGCCCCTTTTTCGAAATTAGTTTTCAACTATTAAAACGAAACGATCGCGTTTGTCGGTGCATAGTAATTCGATTTTAGTCAAACGATTTGTTATTTCGAGCACGTAATGTGGAATCGGTATTTGTATTTTCATTTTATTCATACATGTTATTTCTTATTTTAATGGCACGCTTGAATTTTCTAGGCCCGAAAGAAATTCGAATGTAATTTATCTTTAATCGTTTCTAAGATATGGTATGTAGGAAAATATTTGACGCGACGATACGCGAGTCCCCTTCGGTCGCACCATTGTCGCGACGAATGGCGAAGTTCGCGCAGTGTTTACGATATTAGAACGCTCGAGATGTAACGATGACATACGCTTGAGCTTCGCCCCGGGCATGCGGCACAATTATGTAAGTGCTCGCGCGATCATTTCCGCAGATCGGTCATCATGTGCTCGAGTATTACGCCACCGATTCTCATAACGTGTTAATTGGACGCGATAAATGTCGGAAAATGATAACATTTGATTTAATAACTTGGTGTAATCTATCGGGAGGAAAATAAAACTGTCTTCCGCGATAATGCATGACCTACGAACAGCGATCTAGTCTATTCAATTATCGAACTTTTATAGCCACCTATTTATACAATGACCTACATACAACTCGGAGCAATTAAAAATAATTTGTTTTTGGGATGATCGAACGTTATTTTCGTGTCGTGTCTATCGTTGGAAAACGTGTGAGTATTAATTCGAGTGATAGTTATGTAAGGAAGCACGTGTGGCTGTGCGATACTTGCCACGTGCCATCGGCCGTTTACGGGTTGCATCGTGGAAATACTTATTTACCCAACCTTCGGTATTTATACTACGAAAACGATGTTTGGCTTTTACAACTACGTAAATAGGCGCTTGCGTGCTTTAGTTAAACGGAAATACGTCTCCTTCCTTGAACGATTATGTCTTACGAGAACACGCATCAATGTCATTCCATGAGAAAATAAGGTTACATTTTATTTCCCGTACGAATTACGTTTTGAATATTTACATTCCATTCCAATATAAGTTTAAACATTTGTGTTTGGAATTAACGAATTAGTTTATTTCCAAAAGAAACAAACGACTTGAAATCTCCCGCTCAAAGCGTTCCATGTAACGCGCAGCTACGTCAGCGCACGTATCTTTCGATAATCGAAATTTCAAGATCGGGATACGCGGGCAAATTTCGATAATCGAAGATGCGTCATTTCTAACATTGAGCGTACCATAGTGACTTTCCGATAAAAAGATTCGAAGAAAGACATTCTGTACTCGAATAATTGTTCGAGACGTTTATATTTCGTGTACGGGAAACGCCTCGAGTGAAATTTAATTTATGGTGTGTGTGTTTATTGTGTGGAGAAGGAATAAACCAGCATACACTTCCTCTGGCACTGTCTTCTGTCAAGCATGGCTATAAATAGGTAGGTATCATCGTGCTTTTTTCAATTATTCACGTTTCCACCGTTTTTTAAGCTTTCTTACATCTTTCCATCCACCTAGACTAGAAGAATTTAATCAACTAGAAGAATTTCTTTCCTTTATACTTCATGTCTTAACACGTAATGCGATTATTAAAAGCGCCATAGCTCTCGCGAAACAATTTAAGGAAAACGGGAGATCTCTTTAGCCATTTTCTGAAAATGCTCATTGGTCATTGTATCGGTTTATACATATTTATTCTCTCGCGTAATTAATCTTTTAAGGGGCTTTTATTAATACTCCGTATTGGTTTAACCCTAATGGGAAACAGAATACGCGTCTCGAGTAGATTAGGGTAACGAACTCTTGATGCAACGGGAAGAAGCGAGATGGCATGTTCGTGCGCTTAGAAAAGAGTAAGAGGAACCGAAACGGTAAGCTTGTGAATTAACTGTTGAAGCACGCGGCAGAGGGTTACGTAAGGGTCTCGTTGCATCGTGTACGCGTGCGTTTCCTCTATCCACGTGCTATACGCGCTTGTTAGAAGTGAATGTCAGCCGCTTATATCGTGGAAGCCCCTCACTATCCCGGTAAATATGTCAACGTATACGTGGATCTCTTCTAATCACGTACTTCTGGCCGAGAAACGTGCCTTCATGACCTCGCACAGACGCAATTTTACAATCTGTCATGCGTCCTTCCATCTATCGATTATGTATCTTCTGCCAAGTTACCTCCGTGCAGACTGCGTCACGGTTAGTTAGAGACTGCTCCACTCGACGCTTCTGGGAAACAGACGACCAATATCGACGTTTCATCATGCAGGAAATTACAATTTTTGCGTTACCATGTGTGCACGATCTTTCATCGTTCCTCGCTAGAAGGCAGTGACAAGGATTTAAAAGGAAGACGCGTAGAGACCTCGATACGCTATAGCGGTCGCGTATAAGTCGGTCGTCTATGGTTCGCGCGTATCACGTTACATTTTCACATCGGCAACTTTGTAGTTCAACTTCGTTCCACTTAAACCTGCCGTTCTCAGAATTCTTATTTATGCCTATGTAATGATTTTCTTATTATTGTCGGAGTTCTTGTTACTGAATGCTCCTCCGCAGTATAATTCCCTGAATGTTAATATCTTCCAAAAACTCAATTTTCTCGTTAATTCAGATACTATTAATCTCGTATTCAGATACTGATAATAAGTAGATATTATTCGTAGAAACAAGGAACAGGAAATGATCCCCGAAAAATTAGTAATCGTTTATTCGACCACAGATTAGATAATTAGACTTGAGTAGAGAATATGCATTCTTTTAGAAACCCTGACGATCGACTCGTAACATAGAATAGTATAGCTGCTAGAAAATGCTCCGTGCTATATACTCAAATCGATTATTTCTAATAAGAATATTCAAAAGTACGATATTCTTATCAAGTTCGTCAGATCTGTCGCTTGATTTTCATTCACAATTAATGGAATCAATATACGAATATAACTATAAGTAAGGGGATTCAAAACGACAGGGTATCTAGTTGGGTAAGTGGGCATTTAATTTTCGTTGCAACGCCAAGAGGTGTATAACCGAGACACGAAGCCCGCTCGAAATTGAGCAATCACCTGGAATTTCACTCGCGAAGTTACGTATACGCGAGCTCGCGTGACTCACATCGTCGCAGCTAGTTCTATCGATTCGACGATTTTTGTTAGAATAGAAAACATCGCCCACATAAAATTTCTGTCGTGACGAAATGCACGTAGACGCGGTGCACGCCAACTTAAGTATTCTTCCTACCGATATACGTACA